ATTGGGAATCACTGAAAACTAAGCTGTGCTTTCTTAAAGCCCTGTGAACTGAAACTAAAAAACTTAAATTTCGGAAGAAAATAACAGCAACCTATTTACATACATAAGCCACTTTCACACCTGCACACTGATGTATGGACTTCAGAGGAATGTGGCCTCTACCAATTTTCCAGGATTGTTCTTTTGTTTGTTGTTTTTCTCCCTTCCTCCTCCGATTTCCTCTTGACGGGACACCAGACTTCACAACGGGCTAAAAATGAGCTTTCAGCACCTGCTCGCCTAGGAATAAACCATCCCAGCCATGAGAGATCAGATGAAACCTGAGACGAGAGACTCATTTCCTTGCAAAATGCTTTCTCCAAAAGATTTTAGAAAAGGGGGGAAATGTGAAAGGAAAGTATCTTGGGCTCCTTCAAGTTGGGAACCACTCAGGGCAAATCTGCCTCCCATTCTCTTCAAAGTCATCCCTCTGCTCAGAGAGATAGATGCATATTCTGATTACCGCCTTTGGAAAGACTATCAGAAACTCAAAAGAATGCAACTGTTTGTGTTTCACCGTATCTGTGACCTGAAAGCTCCTTCCCCACTTTGACACTTCCTGCCTTTGCTTCAAGTTGTCCTGTCTTTCCAGATCGAACCAATGTACTTCTTACATATATTGATTGATGTCTCACGTCTCCCTAAAATGTATCAAACCAGGCTGTGCCCCGACCACCCTGGGCACATGTTATCAGGACTTCCTGAGGCTGTGTCATGGGCACATCCTCGACCTTGGCAAAATAAGCTTTCTGAATTAACTGAGACCTGTCTCATATTTTCTGGGTTTGCAGATGTGAATGTTTGAGGGCCAAGTGGACTGTGGTAGGTTGAATAATGACCCCCAAAGATATTCAGATCTTAATCACTGGAACCTGTGGGTATCACCTTGTATGGCAAAAGGATCTTTGTGTGTGTGATTAATGATCTTGACATGAGATTGTCATGGGTTATTGAGTTGGGCCCTAAATATAATCACAAGTATCTTTATAAGAGGAAGGCAAGGGGAGACTTGACTACAGAGAAGGCAGCAATGTGAGGACTGAAGCAAGATTCCACATTTCTCGTGTTGAAGATAGAGGAAGGGGCTCCAAGTCAAAAAACGTAGCTCTAAAAACTAGAAGAAGCAAAGACACGGATTCTCTCCTAGAGCCTCTGGAGGGTGCACTGTCCTGCTGACACCTTGATTTCATCCCAGCAGCCTCCAGGTCAAGTCATCACATTTGGGGTGAGTTGTTATAGCAGCTATGGGAGACTAACGTGGTGGTGTTCAAATCTCTATCCTCATTTACTGTGTTGTGTGTATGTATGTGTATATTTAGTCTTGTTTTATCAATTCCTGAGAGAGGGCCGTGAAACTCTCTAAACGCTGCTGTCGATTTTTCAACTTCCCCTCCTTAGTTTTTAGTTTTTGTTTATTGTGCTTGAAAGCTCTTATTAGGTACGTAAACATTTAGAATAGTTGTGTCTTCCCAGTGAATTCTGTCTTTTATCACTATACAATGTCCTTCTTTATCTCTAGGACAGTTCAAGGATCAGGCATGGATTTGGGGGAATTTATATGCACATTCGAGGGGCTCGCTCTCCTGGGCTTCTTCCTTTTTCTCCTTTCCAGAATTGCCTGCCTCAATTTCCAGCTATTCTGCTGGCCTCAAACTCCATCCTCCGGCACCTAAAGCCAATGTAACTTTGGCTTTGTACTTGACTTTTAGCCAGCCCCCAAGCTATCACAGACTGGTTAGTCAGGAGAAAGCTATACAAAATGAAGATTTCACAAAGTGCAGATGCCTTCCTCAAATACTCTCTGATTGCTGCCTGGTTTTTGGTTGCTTTTCAATGACTTAAAATAATGTTTTAAACATACTTTGTCATTGTTGTCTGTGAGAGGATCAGACTGATATAAGGTACTTTGCCTTTACTGGAACCAGAAATCCCCTTAATTATAATGAAAGTTTTTAAAATATCTAGAGTTCAAAAAAATTAAAATGCAAACAGTTGCCTTGGAAAGTGGAGAAGGCAGAATGAAAGCAGCGGGGCCCATGACACGCTTGTCCCCTGTTTACCGTGGGGGATTGTGGGAAAGAAAGAAGGGGGAGGCCTATCTCGGCCTGCAGTAAATATGCTGCTCACTGGATATCTGCTAGGAGGAGAATGCTTATCAGTGGAATTCTTTCACGATGTCTCAGTTTAGAATTGCTGATGGCAAAGAAACCTAGAATCTATGGATTTATGACTGGAGAAGATCACATGAGTTATACAACCACTTGAGATATCAAATGGAGATGTTTCACAACCTAAACGCTCCTCACTGTGTGAGGGGACTTGCAAACCTCATTAGAGACCTCGTATACTGCTCTGAGCCAGAGGGCCTGTGTCTGATGCAGGAAGGACGGGCCTCCTGCTATGCTGCCTGTGCCTCTCGGGTATTAGTATTCATAAAATTTAATACTGGAATACAGAGATAGACGCATATTCTGATTACCTCCTTTGGAAAGACTTATCAGAAACTCAAAAGAATGCAACTGTTTGTGTTTCACCGTATCTGTGACCAAGAAGCTCCTTCCCCACTTTGAGTCTTCCTGCCTTTCCTTCAAGTTGTCCTGCCTTTCCAGATCGAACCAATGTACTTCTTACATATATTGATTGATGTCTCATGTCTCCCTAAAATGTATAAATACTGGAACAATCTCTGTTTTGTGTAAATCTGGTTTAATCTGATCCTTTGTGTTAGCTCAGAAAATATTTATAGTAAATACTGAAATGGGGCCAATATCTTTATTAGAAAAAAGTTAACATAAATTGTTAAGAAAAGCATCAAGAAAATAAAATATACACAGGTGAGGGCCATGATGGGCCTTTCACAAAGGAGAACATGAAACGGGTAAACAAACATAGGAAAAATTCATATTTCCTAGTATTCAATGGAAATTAACACTGAGATTTTTATGAATCTTTCAAATGCGCAGTTTTATCAAAAATTGAAACATTTAATAATGGCTAGGATAGAGACACTCTCACATCCTCCTGTAGGGGAGTAAACCTTAATTCAAGTATTTTGAAAAGCAGTTTGAGAATATACTTCAGAAGCCCCATGCGACATAAGAAAAAATACATTGATCTCTGCCCCCAATTCCTAATACATATCTAATACCCTTAGAATTTTCTGGGTGACAGAAGGATCTTTTGTTCTAATGAGGTGACTCTTTGTGGGCTTCTGGGTGGGCACCTGGCACCAGAAAGACCAAGCCACAATTAGGGGCTTGGAACTTTCAGCCCTATTCCCCCATCCTCCAGGGAGGAGAGTGAGGCTGGAGACTGAGTGCACGATGGATCATGCCTATGAACTGAAGCCTACACCAAAATCCCTAATCTACAGAGTTCCGAGAGCTTCCAGGATGCTCAACACATCCATGTGCCGGGAGGGCGGTGTACCCCAACTCCATGGGGACAGAAGCTCCTGTGCTCAGGACCCTTCCCACCTCGCCCTAGGTACCTCTTCATCTGACTATACAACTGAATCCTTTCTACGAAACCCGGAGACATAAGTAATGTTTCCTCTGACTTCTGTGAGCTGTTACAGCAAACTCTCAAACCTGAGGAGGAGGCTGTGGGAACCCCAAATTTGTAGTCAAGTTGGTCAGAAGCTTCAGAGGACTGTGTCTTATGCTTGGCTCTGAAGTAGGGGCAGTCTGTGGGGCCTTTGAGGTCTGCACTAACTCCAGGTAGGTAGTGTCAGAGTTGAACTGAATGTTAGGACACCCAACTGGTGTACAGAAAGTTGAAGAAATGCTTAAGTGTGGGGAAGATCCCTATACAATTGGTGTCAGAAGTGTTTTGAGTAGAAAAACAGTGTTTTTCCTAGACCCCAGTAATTTTACTTTGGCAGATTTATACAAAAGAAATCTAAATACGGAAAAGAAATCTACGGCCTAAAATTTTTTAAATTGGAAATAATCTTTAATAAGCACAACAGTGAGTACATGGTTATAGTGTGGTGTATATTTCTTTTTTTTTTTTTTTTTTGAGATGGAGTCTCACTCTGTCACCCAGGCTGAAGTGCTGTTGCACAATCTCGGTTCATTGCAACCTCTGCCTCCTAGGTTCAAGCAATTCTCCTGCCTCAGCCTCCTGAGTAGCTGGGACTACAGGTACACGCTGCCACACCCAGCTAATTTTTTGTATTTTTAGTACAGACAGGGTTTCACCAAGTTAGCCAGCATGGTCTTAATCTCCTTGACCTCGTGATCCGCCCGCTGCTGGGATTACAGGCGAGAGCCAGTGTGCCCAGCCCTCTTCCACTATTTCAAATAATGTTTATGAAGACTACACAATAATACATGCATAAAATGCAATATCAAGGGGGAAAGGCAGGCTATAAAATGCTCTACATACTGTATTTTTGATAAAGATTGGAAAGAAATGCATGAAATTGTTATCATTGGTCATCTTTGGAAGATGAAACTATTATTGTCTTTTTCATACTGCTTAGAATATCTAAGTTTTTTGTAGTTGTTGTTATTGCATTTTTTTTTTTTTTTTTTTGAGACGAAGTCTCACTGTGTTGCCCAGGCTGGAGTGCAATGGCATGATCTCAACTCACTATGACCTCTGCCTCCTGGGTTCAAGCAGTTCTCCTGCCTCAGCCTCCTGAGTAGCTGGGATTACTGCATGTGCCACCATACCCAGCTAATTTTTGTATTTTAAGTAATTTTTGTATTTTAAGGGTTTCACCACGTTGGTCAGGCTGGGCTCGAATTCCTAATCTCGTGATCTGCCCACCTCAGCCTCCCAAAATGCTAGGATTACAGGCGTGAGCCACCGTGCCCAGTTATTTATTTATTTATTTATTTATTTATTTATTTTGAGACAGAATCTCGCTCTGTCACCCCGGCTGGAGTACAGTGGTGCAATCCTGGCTCACTGCAACCTCTGCCTCCCAGGCTCAAGTGATTCTACTGCTTCAGCCTCCCGAGTAGCTGGGACTACAGGCATGTGCCAGAACGCCTGGGTAATTGTGTATTCTTAGCAGAGATGAGGTTTCACCATGTTGGCCAGGCTGGTCTCGAACTACTGACATTGTGATCCACCCACCTTGGCCTCCCAAAGTGCTGGATTATAGGTGTAAGCCACTGCACCCGGCCTAGAATATCTAAGTTTTCTTTAATGAATGTGTTTCACTTTACCATAGAAACAAAATCTGTAAAGCCAGAAAAAAATGATGCATGCTAATTAGCATTCATAATACAATATTATAATTTAGATGTGGAAGCAAACAAAATGTAATGAAACTAAAAGTATTGCCCAGAAGTATGCATTACTTCTTTTCTCTTCACTGTCAACAAAGCAACAAAGTAATTTCTGGCTAAGTGGGAATAACCATCTGATAGCTACTACTTCCCTTCATAAATCAACATGTGTACACTAGCACACAGAACCTAAGAAAATACAGAGAAAGCCAAGCAATTTTTAAAGAAAAACGTTTGCCAAATTATCCACAAAGTACATGCTGTGAATTTCATAAATCTCATTAGAATATGACAATAAAGTGGTGTGCACATCTTTGTAATAGTTTACAGAAACAGACACCAAAATGCTAAGCCTATGCACTACATGTCATCGAAATACGGAATGAAGGTGGAGATGTCCTTAGATAAAATGGCATAAATAAGCAATTCTCAAAGTGTGATCTGCAGACCCCCAGGGTCTGTGTGGGCAAAATGGTTTTCATAATAATATTAAGACTTTGTTATTACTCATTTTTACTATGTTGATATGTGCACTGATGGAACAAAATCAGTGTTGGGTAAAACTGCTAACGCCTTAGCATGAACAAACTCTGTGATGCCAAACAGTAGTCGATGCTGCATTCTTCACTGCTGTGAAATTGATGATTTTTTAAAAATTACAGTCTTAGTTGAGAAAGTACTAAAAAAAGCAGTAAAAATTATTAATTCCATCTAATCTCTGCCCTCGATCCTGTACTGTTTTTAATATTGTGTGTGATGCCATGGGACATAGGCATAAAGCATTTCTGCTACAATTTGAAGTATCTTGGTTTCCAAGAAAAGTACTTATGTCATTTTGTGAGTCATAAGCTGCACTAACTGCTTTTTGCAGAGACCACCATCTTGAAAATATGACGGACAACCTGAAGTGATTCAGACTTGTGTATCTGGAAGACATTTTCTGAAAAATGAACAAAGTGAGCCTGTCACTTCAAGGGAAACAACTGATGTTATTTGTTGCCAATGATAAAATTTGAGCTTTCAAATGAAAATGAGAATTCTGGAAAACTTGTATCTGCCATTATGAGTTTAATAGCTTCTCTATATCTTTGGATAAGATTGACATTAATGAATGTGATCTTTTTTATCTTGTATAATGAAATATGTCAACAGTTGGAAGACCTGCATAACTTAGTGAATCAGTGTTTTCCAAATGACCAGTACATCATGTTACAAAATAATGCATGAGTAAAAGATCCATTCAAATTGGAAGACAGGTCAATGGATATTAATGTAACAGATACGAAAAGTTTGTTGATATGCTTTCATGTTCTACATTGCAACTAAACTTTAAGAAATTACAATTGTTAAATTTGGCATCATATCAAAGAATAATCCACAATGATCTGAAAAGGCTATTAAAATACTCCTAAGGTTTTCAACTATAAATCTATATAAGGCCAAATTTTCTTCATATACTTCAACCAAAGCATCATCTCACAACAGATTGAATGCAGAAGCAGGTGCAAGAATCCAACGGTCTTTGGTTTAGCCAGACACTGAAGAGATTTGTAAAACTGTTGGATTAATTTTTCCTTTTCTTTTTTTTGAGATGGAGTCTCTGTCTGTCACCCAGGCTGGAGTGCAATGGCGTGATCTCAGCTCACTGTAACCTCTGACTCCCGGGTTCAAGTGATTGCCCTGCCTCAGCCTCCTGAGTAGCTGGGATTGCAGGCATGCGCCACCACACCCAGTTAATTTTTGTATTTTTAGTAGAGACGAGGTTTCACCATGTTGGCCAGGCTGGTCTTGAACTCCTGATCACAAGCAATCCACCCATCTAGGCCCCCCAAAGTGCTAGGATTACAGGTGTGAGTCACTGCGCCTGGCCTTGTATTAGTTTTTCTATTGCTGCCATTAAAAATTACCACAAACCCATCCTGGCTAACATGGTGAAACCCTGTCCCTACTAAAAAATACAAAAAATTAGCCGGGCATGATGGCGGGCACCTGTAGTCCCAGCTACTCGGGAGGCTGAGGCAGGAGAATGGCATGAACCCGGGAGGCAGAGTTTACAGTGAGACGAGATTGTGCCACTGCACTCCAGCCTGGGCGACAGAGCCAGACTCTGTCTCCAAAAAAAAAAAAAAAAAAAAAAAAAAATTACCACAAACCATAGTGGCTTAACAACACAAATGTATTCTCATACAGCTCTGTAGGTCAGCAGTGTGACATGAGTTCTCACTGAGCTAACATCAAGGTATCACAGAGCTGGGTTCCCTTTTGGAGGCTCTAATGAAGAATCTGTTTTCTTACCTTTTCTAGCTTCTGGAGGTGCTGTTCATTCCTTAGCTCTTGACGCCATCCTCAATCTTCAAAGTCAGCAACAGTGCATCTCCCGCTGAGCCTTTTTCAGTGTCATGTCTTCCTGTGACCAGGTGGAAAAGGTTTTCCATTTTTCAGGAGTTGATGATTAGATTGGGTCCACCTGGATAATGAAAGCTCATCTCTCATCTCAAAATCATTAACCCTAATCATATCTGTAATATCCCTTTTGCCATGTAAAGTAACATGTTTATAGGTTCAGAGTATTAAGGTGTGGACACAATTGAGGGCCATAACTGCTCACCATGAATGTGAAACAGTACCATTCTTCCCACTAAATTTGTTTGCAAAATATATTTTTCTTTTTTTTTTTTTGAGACGGAGTCTTTGCTCTGTCGCCCAGGCTGGAGTGCAGTGGCACGAACTCGGCTCACTACAAGCTCCGCCTCCCGGGTTTACGCCATTCTCCTGCCTCAGCCTCCCGAGTAGCTGGGACTACAGGCGCCCGCCACCTCGCCCGGCTAGTTTTTTGTATTTTTTAGTAGAGACAGGGTTTCACCGGGTTAGCCAGGATGGTCTCGATCTCCTGACCTCGTGATCCGCCCGTCTCGGCCTCCCAAAGTGCTGGGATTACAGGCTTGAGCCACCGCGCCCGGCCTATATTTTTCATTAGAATGTCATATGTTAACACATAATGAGTTTGTCATTATTCTGAGTGAATATTTTTTACAAATTCTCAGTTTTGCTTTCTAACACGGTATCTCGGTCCACTTAATGTTTCTATAACAGAATACCTGAGACTGGGTAATTCATAAAGAAAAGAGGTTTTTTTGGCTTATGATTCTGGAGCTGGGAAGTCCAAGAAGCATGGCGCCTGCATCTGCCTGGCCTCTGGTGAGGGCTTCCTGCTCCACCATAACACGGTAGACAAGCAGAAGGAGAATCAGGCATGTGCGAAAAAGGGACCAAAAACAAGGAGTAGCCTTGCATTATAACCCACTATCATGGTAACTAGTCCAGTCCTGCAAGAACTAGCCCAGTCTCACAAGAAGTCCATCTTAATGAGCTACTCACCTCTGATATGCCCCACCTCCCAACTCCACTACACTGGCAATTCAAGGTGAGTTTTCACAGGGACAAACCACATCCAAACCATAGCATATGGTTAAGTATTGATAAATATAAAACTTAAAAACAAAAGCTTTTGGAGTTCTGAATTAGTTTTAACAGAGTAAAGAGGTTATGAAGCCAAGAAGGTTGAGGATTGCTGGCTTAAATTTTTGAAATGGTAAGAGCAGACCCATCCTAAGAGTGTTTCAAAATCACACAAACACCCTCCATAGAAAGATGAAATCATCCCATTATACAGAGAAAATGCTGGAAAAATGTGGTGGTAAGTGTCATTAGGTGAGTTGACCAGAATCTTTCAGATGACTGGTGCCAACTCCCAGACACACTGGCAAAAGCTCTAGCAAAGAAAAAGCTGCTTTAAGTTGTCTTTAAGCATCCCTTCTGTCCCCAGTGTCACACATTGGGGATGTGTCCCTAGTGCCTATCTTATGGCTGGGTTTCATGCATGTCAGACTGACCCTGCCCTGGAACCGTACTGATGAGACTATTGTGACATGGAATGTGGTTCTGCATGGCTCAAAAAGAAACTACTCCAGACTCACTCCATGGCAATCTTATGTCAGATATTGCTAGTACTTATCTACTCTTCTTTTTTTAGAGACTGAGGTCTCACTATGTTGCCCAGGCTGGACTCAAACTCCTAAGCTCAAGTGATCCTCCCACCTCAGACTCCTAAGTAGCTGGGACTTACAGGCATGAGTCACCACACTTGGCTCCATCTACTCTTCTTCTTCTTCTTCTTTTTTTTTTCATGTGAAGCAAGGCTTCCAAACTTGTGAACAATAATATAGTCTATCATTTCAATGTCAAACAAAACCAGACAAAGCTCCTACCTCAAATGAGGAGAGAAGTAGAAGAAAGACATTTGTTGAGTGCCTGCCATACTCCTGTCATTTTGACTGGTTTGTCTTTAATTCTCTCTATGAACCTCTGAGAGAGATCATTCTATCCTGTCACAGGTGGGAAAACTGAGGCCCAGCAAGGTTAAGAAATCACCCTGGTTCATGCAACAAATAAGTGGAAGAGACAGATTTCAGACCTGGGTCCATCTGGTTCTAACATTCACATGGGTTCCGTTCCCCCACGCTGTCTGCTAAGCAGTGTTGGGCCCCTGGAGTGTGTTAAAAGAAAACACCATGCTCTGAACACCAAAACCCGAAGTAGAGGCCATCCCTCCTGAACTGAGGCCAGGCCCAGGAAGCAGCTTACTCATCCCTCACAAGTCAGCATGTGAAAAGCAGCTGACGACCTCAAAGGAAAACTGCAAAGGGAATGAATTCATCAAAGATCCCTCAGCCACAGCCCAGTGCATGCACTGCCATGAGACCTTTGAGGTGGAGCAGAGAGGGCCAGCCACTGCATTGAGCCAGAGGGACTCGAGTTCCGCATCTGGTTCTGCTACTCATTATCCAGGCACAATTGGGAAGCAGTTTTGTCTTTGTAAACCTCCATTTTCCCATGTGTAAAAAAGCAATAATGCCCTCCTCTCCCCAAGTTCCTCCAAGAATTAAAATAAGGAATCCAAGACGGAGACAAGACACTCATGGGTAGTGAGAGAAACAAGTGAAGAAGACCGTCCTGATAACTTGCTGTAAATGCTGTGCAAAGAAATGGAAGCAGAGAGAGGTCCATGGCATTGAGCATAGCTAGTAGGGCATACAGTGTAGGAGGAATGTAGCTGGAAAGGGCGTGTGTGTCAAGCAAACTTTGATTTAACTGTATGTGAGGGAATCACAAAATTACAATGGCTTAAACAAGATAAAAGTGGTTTTCCCTCCGTGAAACCAAGTAAGGAATTAGGCAATGCCAAGCTAGTGGCTCCACAATTGAGGACCCAGCTCCTTCCATTTTGTGGCTTCACCGTCTTCATGGTCTTCATGGCCCAGGATGGCTACCCGAGCTTTGGCTATCATCTCCATATTCTCGAAAGGAAGCAGAATGACAAAAAAGACATGCCTGTTCTCCTTTCATCTGATTACCTGGAACTTAGTTACAGGGCTTCACCTAAAATAGTCTCAGGGATTTCTGAGTGAAGCGGTTTATGGGCAGTTGTCCATGTATCTAGGATTTAGGGAGAGGACTAAACATTCCTCATGTAGCTTGCTGGTGCTGGAGTGAGCAATATGGACTTTCTTCTCAAGTAATTGTGATTGTGCATTTTGATATGCCTAGCAGTTCCCTTGAGGACTGGTGCAGAGGTTTGTCTTTGCTTCAATCCCTCAGGCTGGTGCACCTCCCCAGGTGGCATCTGTTGAAAGCATTTTTTTTTGTTTTGTTCTTGATTCGCTCTTGTCGCCCAGGTTGGGGTGCAATGGCACAATCTCGGCTCACTGCAACCTCCGCCTCCTAAGTTCAGGCGATTCTCGAGCCTCAGCCTCCCAAGTAGCTGGGATTACAGGCACCTGCCACCACGCCCGGCTAATTTTTGTATTTTTAATAGAGATGGGGTTTCACCATTTTGGCCAGGCTGGTCTTGAACTCCTGATCTCAGGTGATCCACCTGCCTTGGCCTTCCAAAGTGCTGGGATTACAGGTGTGAGCCACCGCACCCAGCCTGTTGAAAACATTTAAAGACATAAACTCCCCATAGATGTCTGGAGCAAGGGATAGCTGATGGGTCATGCAGCACATAGACCAAAAAGTCTGGGAAGGAGGAGGCTGAGGAAGAAGATGCTTGAGAAAAGAAGGTCATTGAAGGGCTACTGCATGTACCAGGGAACCCAGGTTGCAATGCACATGTCCAGGGCTGGACACACGCTCAGAAAATATCTAAGAGGACCCTAGGCTTGCACCTGTGGCTGATCTTTGCATTCCATGCAAGCAGGAGTTAAAGTCTACGGATAATGGAAAGAGTGGCTTGGTTAAGTGTCTAAGGAATGCCTCAGCTCAGAGCCAATCTGCAAAGATCAGAAGATTTTTCTTTTGTGTTTGGTCCAGGTGTTTTTAGTCCAGGTGTTTAAGGAAATCTGTGTTAACTCTCTGTGGCTGACCACTGAGGTAATAGAGCAGAGACTTCAGTGTCTACATATAAGGAATGCAGTCTGCAAAAATCATATGGAAATGTCACTAAACAAACAAGACTGCAACCCTTAATAAGCAATAACAGCAAATCTTGCAAAGGGCAAAGAATCTGATTTCCAGGGTTATCATATTATAATATCCAAAATGCCCAGTTTTTTTCTTTCAGTCAGCTTCCTCAGGTTGAAGTATCCAGTTTTTAGCAAAAAAAAATGTGAAGGCACACCAAGAAAAAAAGTACAACCCATTCACAGGAAAAAGAAATTGACAGAAGCCATCTGTGAGGAAGCCTAGACATTGAACTTGCTAGGCAAAGAGGGCTGGACCGTTCAGCCCTACCCCTTGACCTCCTGGGTCAATGATTTTATGGCCAAAGATGTTAACCCATGATGTCTACGTAATAAAACTTCCAAAAACACCCTCTAATGACTACGTGTGGGGAGCTTCTGCTAACTTCAGGTACATAATATCAGAATTGAATTGAATTGTAGGACACATACTTGGTGTCTGGAGAGTTGTTTTTTGTGTGGAATAAAAAACCCACATATTTAGTGTCAGAAGTGTTGTGAGAAAAAATAGTTCAGCGAAGTATTCCATCCTCTTCTATTCCTTAGTAGAATTTCAGGATTGGTGTTAATTCTTCTTTAAAGGTTTGGTAGAATTCACCAAGCTGAAGCCATCTGGTCCTGCTTCAGGGGAGGTTTTTGATTACTGATTCAACCTTTTTTTTTTTTTTTTTTTTTGTGAGACAGAGTCTCCCTCTGGCTACCCAGGCTGGAGCGCGGTGGTGCAATCTCGGCTCACTGCAAGCTCTGCCTCCTGCGTTCACGCCATTCTCCTGCCTCAGACTCCCGAGTAGCTGGGACTACAGGCACCCGCCACCATGCCCGGCTTTTTTTTTTTTTTTTTTTTTTTTGTATTTTTAGTAGAGACGGGATTTCACCGTGTTAGCCAGGATGGTCTCAATCTCCTGACCTCGTAATCCGCCCGTCTCAGCCTCCCAAAGTGCTGGGATTACAGGCGTGAGCTGCTGTGCCTGGCCTTACTGATTCAACCTCGTATTGGATTCAATCTCTTTACTTTTCTAGGTTTTGTTCAGGTTTATTTCTGCCCGTCTCAGCCTCCCAAAGTGCTGGGATTACAGGCGTGAGCTGCTGTGCCTGGCCTTACTGATTCAACCTCGTATTGGATTCAATCTCTTTACTTTTTCTAGGTTTGTTCAGGTTTATTTCTTCCTGAGTCAGTTTTGGTCATTTGTGTTTTTCCAGGAATTTGCTCATTTCATCTGGGTTATCTAATTTGCTGGTATACAGTTGTTCACAGTATTGTCTTATGATGCTTTTTTTCTTTTTTCCTGTAAGGTCCATAATGATGTCCCTGCTTTCATTTCTGATTTTAGTTATTTGCATCTTCACTCTTTCTCAGTCTAGCTAAAGATTTGTCAGTGCTGTTCATCTTTTCAAAATTCTCATTTCAGCTATTGTACTTTTCAGCTCCAGAACTTTGATTTGGTTTATTTTTAATAATTTGTCTCTTTGTTGATATTCTGTTTATACACTTATTGTTTACCTGACTTCCTTTAGTTCTTTGTCAATGGTTTCCTTTAGTTAAGCATATGTAAGACCATTTAAATAAACATTTAAGTAAACTTTTAAACATTTAAATAAAAGTCTTTGTCTAGCAAGTTCAATGTCTAGGCTTCCCCAGGGATGGTTTCTGTCAATTTCTTTTTCCTGTGAATGGGTTGTACTTTTCTTTTTTCTTGGTATGCTATTTTATTTATTTATTTATTTTTGGTTAAAAACTGGGCACTTCAGGGCTGGCATGGTGGCTCATGCCTGTAATCCCAGCACTTTGGGATGCCGAGGCGGGTGGATCACGAGGTCAGGTGTTTGAGACCAGCCTGGCCAACATAATGAAACCCTGTCTCTACTAAAAATACAAAAATTAGCTGGGTGTGAGGTGGGCGCCTATAATCCCAGCAACTCAGGAGGCTGAGGCAGGAGAATTGCTTGAACTTGAGAGGCAGAGGTTGCTGTGAGCAGAGATCGTGCCACTGCACTCCAGCCGCGGCGACAGTGCCAGTCTCCATCTCAATAATAATAATAATAATAACCCCCCAAAACTGGGCACTTCAACCTGAAAAAGCTGATAGAAAGAAAAAAGCAAAAACTGGGCATTTTGAATATTATAATGTGGTAACTCTGGAAATCAGATCCTGTTAACGCTTATTAAGGGCTGCAGTATTCTGTTTGTTTAGATCATGCCTTAGTCTTTCTGGCCACCAGCCCCCATCCTGAAGCTATTCAGGGTTCCCCAGCCACCAGTCATCTCATTAGCATACCAACAACACTTATCACACCTGAGATTCCAAAGGTTTTAGGAGCTTGTGCCAGGAACGGGGATAATGATCAAATGTTTATTTTTATTATATCACAACTTCTTAACTCATTTATTGAGTCATTATGCTTCGCATTAGGGCAAATGAAGCCTCTTCACATTAGGGGAAATTCAGCCTATCAAATACAACACTGAAAGCTAAATAACAACAACAACAACAACAACACAACAACAACCAATCAGGGATGGGTGCAGTGGCTCACACCTGTAACCTAATCTTAGCACTTTGGGAGGCCGAAGTGGGAGGGTCATTTGAGGTCAGGAGTTTGAGACCACCCTGGTCAACATGGTGAAACCCCATCTCTACTAAAATTACAAAAATTAGCCAGGCGGGGTGGTGCATACCTGTAATTCCAGCTACTTGGGAGGCTGAGGCAGGAGAATCACTTGAACTTGGGAGGCAGAGGCTGCAGTGAGCTGAGATCGTGCCATTGCACTCCAGCCTGGGCGAAAAAGCAAGACCTTGTTTCAAAACAAGAACAAATCAGGCTGGAGAGTCATTTCCCAGCAATTCTGTAGCAAGGGCATATATGCATCAGTTAGAGAGTTGGAGTTTGTGACCCTCAGGTGTCCTTCCTTTTCTAAGAATTGATTATTTTTATAATTCTTTATGTTAAGTATAATTAATTTCTCAAATTTATCAAAGATCATTATTTTCTTTTTTCTTTTTGAGACAGAGTCTCATTCTGTCGCCCAGGCTGGAGTGCAGTGGCGCTATCTCTGCTCACTGCAAGCTCCACCTCCCAGGTTCATGCCATTCTCCTGCCTCAGCCTCCTGAGTAACTGGGACTAGAGGCATACACCACTACACCCAGCTAATTTTTTTTTGTATTTTTAGTAGAGACAGGGTTTCACCACATTAGCCAGGATGGTCTCGATCTCCTGACCTCATGATCCGCCTGCCTCGGCCTCCCAAAGTGCTGGGATTACAGGCGTGAGCCACCGTGCCCGGGCTGGACCATTATTTTCTTAGCCAAAATGCTGGCCTGCCCCAGTTCCATCTGGGGTTAATCTTCATTTAAACAGCTCTTTAAAACTATTTGGTTTTCCCCATACATCTATGGCCAATTGATTTTTGACAGGAAGCCAAGACAATTTAATAGGAAAAGGACAATCTCTTCAACGAATAGTGCTGGGACAACTAGAAGTCTACATGCAAAACAATGCGCTTGGACCCTGACCTCACACCACATACAAAAATTACCTTAAAACGGATCAACAACCTAAATATAAGAGCCAAACCTATAAAACTCTTAGAAGAAAACATAGGAGTAAATCTTCACAACCTTGGATTTGACAATGATATCTTACACAGGACACCAAATGCACAAACAACAAAAGAAAAAACAGTTAAGCTGAACTTCATCAAAATTAAAGTTTTAAGCGCATCAAAGGACATCAGAAAGTGAAAACGACAATTACAGAATGGGAGAGAAATATTTGTGAAGCATATATCTGATAAGGGTCTAGTATCCATAATATATAAAGAACTCTTACAACTCAACAACAAAAAGACAACCCAATTTTAAAACCAGAAAAGGACTTGAATAGACACGTCTCCAAAGAAGATATACAGATGGCCAACAAGCACATGAAAAGGAGAATGCTTAACAGCATTAGTTATTAGGAAAGCGTAAACCAAAATCAGAATGAGGTATCCCTGCATACCTACTGGGATAACAATAAAATGGAAAATAACAAGCATTGGTGAGGATGCGGAGAAACTGGAACCCTGTACATTGCTGGTAGGAATATAAAATGGTTCAGCCATCATGGAAACCATTTGGAGTTCCTCAAATAGTTAAACACTGAAGGCTGGGCGCGGTGGCTCATGCCTGTAATCCCAGCACTCTGGAAGGCCAAGGTAGGCAGATAACTTGAGGTCAAGAGTTCAAGACCAGTCTGGCCAACATGGTGAAACCCCATCTCTACTAAAAACACAGAAATTAGCCAGACGTGGTGGCACACACCTGTAACTCTAGCTAGTCAGGAGGCCAAGGGAAGAGAATTGCTTGAACCTGGGAGGCAGAGGTTGCAGTGAGCCAAGATTGCCGCCACTGCACTCTAGGCTGGGCAACAGAGCAAAGCTCTGTCTCAAAAAAAAAAAAAAAAAAAAAGGCCAGGCACGGTGGCTAACGCCTGTAATCCCAGCACTTTGGGAGGCTGAGGCAGGTGGATCATGAGGTCAGGAAATCAAGACCATTCTGGCTAACACGTTAAAACCCCATCTCTATTAAAAAAAAAAATACAAAAAAAAAAAAAAAAATAGCCGGACGAGGTGGCAGGAGCCTGTAGTCCCAGCTATTCAGGAGGCTGAGGCAGGAGAATGGTGTGAACCCCGGAGGCGGAGCTTGCAGTGAGCTGAGATCACGCCATTGCACTCCAGCCTGGGCGACAGAGGAAGACACCGTCTCAAATAAAAAAAAAAAAAAAAAAAAAAAAAAAATTGAATTACCATGTGATCCAACAATTCAATCCCTGTGTACATACCCTCCCAAAATAAAAATGGGTTCTCAAACGCATGTACATGCATGTTCATAGTAGCATTATTCACAAAGCCAAAAGATGCAAACAGCCCAAATGTCCATAGATAGATGAATAAACTGTGGCATACACGATACACACACACACATACACACAATCGAATACTATGCAGTCATAAAAAGGAATAAAGTCTGTTACATGCTACCTGAGGGTGAACCTTGAAAATATGCTAAGTGAAAGATAGACACAAAAGTCTACACACTGTGATTCCGTTTATATGAAGTATCTAAAATAAGTAACTATAGAGACAGAAGTAGACCGGTGATTGCCAGGGGCTGGGGGAAGAGGACAATGGGAAGAAACTTCTCAATGGGTATGGGGTTTTTCTTTTGGAATGAGGAATCGGAACTAGTCAGAGGTGGTCGTTGCACAGCATTGTGAATTCACTAAATGCCACTGAAATGACCACTTTATGGTAAATTTTATGTTGTGTGAATTTCACCTTCAGTTAAAAAAAAAAAAAGTAAAACTACTCAGACAACGCCAAATTATTGACAATTTCAACTTATTCCACAGACCCCAAATCTTGGAATCACAACCCCGTAGGCCAATTCTCAGGTCAGGCAGCAATTTCATCCCTGTTCAATTTTATCCAGAGCTCCTGGTGGCTCTGAAGCGCTCTAGGGAACAGACTAGGAAAATTCTCATGGTGTTACCTCACATCGGGCCACTAGTGCTCCTTTAATGTGAGAACAACCGGGAGGAGGAGAGGATGTGCACCTAAAAGTACAAGGAAGAGTGTCCTCGAAGCATATGTCCTACAGTCCCACGCTGCTGCCAGGCCCACAGGAAGATGACAGGCCCGGCCTCCACTCCTTCTAAGGTCATTGCCCAGTTTCGACGTCGGGATGATCCCGTCATCCGCGCGGCTTGAAAGGCACCCTCCCCGCACGCCCGGGGCTCCAAGTGGGGCGCCAGTGAACGAGAGAACGTGGCGTCGCCCACCGGGCGGGGCCTGGGCGGGCGCGGGGCGGGGCCTGGGCCGGCGCCGGGTCCAGCTGGGCGCTCCGCCAGCTGCGTAAACTCCACTGGAGCGCGGCGGTGGAGCAGGTGAGCAGGCGGTGCTGGGGGTGCCCAGGCCAGGGCCCTGTCGCCCGCGGCGTTGAGGGCCCGGGGTGGGGGTGCGCCCTGAGGGCCCGGCCCTGCCCTCCGCACGCCCCTAGCTGCGGTCCCTTCCCCGGCTGTGGGGCTGCGGCCCCTGCGTGCGCAGTGCTTCTGGCTTCTGCGGCCAGCGCGGGGGCGGAGAGAGGAGAGTGCCCGGCAGGCGGCTGCAGGGCCAGCCCGGAACTGGGTGGTGGAAGGATCGCGGGAAGCTGCTCTCAGGCCTCTGGCCTCACTGCGTCTCCACTTCCCCGCGCCCGCCTGCCCCCGAGCCCCAGCTGGGGGTGGGCGCGGCGCGAGCTGTTAAAGGGCCGGTGCGTTTAAAGGAGACGTGCACGTGGGTCTCTGAGGCGTGTAGCAGGGCGGGGGCGTTTTGTTCTTCCTCTCTCTTGCCTGAGACCTCCGTTGCGCAGAGTCCATCCGGCCTCCAGCACCCGACCCTGGGCATGCTTTCCCCAGAAAGGAGGCGCGCGGGGGCTCTGCCCGCACGTGAGGGCAGGGCCGCAGGCGCAAGCCTAGAGCCGGTTTCTGTTAGCAGCGGTGTTTGGCTGTTTTATCAGGCATTTGCAGCTGTGAGGAGGCAGCCAGAAGCAAGCTTTTGGAACTGAAGGAACCTGAGACAGAAGCTAGTCCCCACTCCAAATTTTACTGATGAAGCTGAGGCCGCAGAGCTAAAGTGCCTTTCCCAAGGTCGCCCAGGTAGGATATAGCAGAGCCAGGCTTCGACCCCAGTGTCCTGGCTTCTAGATCTGCTGTACATCCCTCCGAGCAGACCTCACCCGTATTTATTGGCTTAATAAGTATTCCCTTAGACAGGTATGAACGGTGTTGAGTGAAGTAACTGCATCCCTATTTACAGATGGAGAACCTCAGATCATCCCAAAGAGACGATTGCAGACTAAACTCTATGGAGTAACTTGATTAGGACCGACCCCATCTTCCAGTAAGGAGGCCCCTGATGCCTCTGTAGCCAATTCTGCAGACACCTGAGCCTCCAAGGCCTTCAGCCAAGACCTTTGGCGGTAATTGGACGCTCGGGATAAGCTGCTTCAGGTGTGTGAGCCTCAGGTTCTTCTCTGCTGAATGTGGTTGTGGGCAGGCAGTGACTGGTGCAGGTGCAGAAGGGGCCTGGTTCCTGGCCCCAGCTCAGAGCTGCGTCCCCAGGACGCCCAGGTTGAGCCTTGGGTTCCAGGGCAGAGGCTGGAGTGAGGGCTTGGAGGGATGTTGCTTTGAAGTGGGATGGATGTTGTATCAGGTTTTTGGGGAAAACTGTACCCTTTGGTGGTGAAGTGCCCATGTGCCAAGTCTTGAGTCCAGCCTGTTCACTTGTGGGAAGTGAGTGGCTTGTTCCTATTTGAAAGAGCAGCAAGGAGGAGGAGGAGCAAGGGCTAGGGGCTGCTGCTGGGGTGCCTGGAGGTGTGGTGCATAGTGTCACACCTGCCTCCCCTCCCTGGCTGCTCACCGTCCCCCCACGGGGGTTTGCCTCTTGCCTACTTTGGCCTTTCTCTGTTGTCGATGTTGATAATGCCACATATCTCGCTTATGAGTTGGTCATATACAATAAAAAGCCATCTTGTACAGAATCTTAGAATTTATGATCTTAAGAATTTCAATGACCCTGAAATAGGTTATTACTTTTTACAGAAGAGGAAACAAGTTCAGGGAGTTAAGCACCTAGTCCAGTTATGTGGCTTCAGTGCTTTAAGCACCAGGATTTGAACATAGCTGGCTACACCGTCTTTATCTTTTGAGTTTTTGCACAGGAGGTTCCTGCATTCAACTCCTACCCATGTCTCTCCACTACTGCTGGGAAAGTTTCGTGGAGTTCCCATGAGCAACTTCCTGACAAACAAAATTTTTTTACAGAAACCAAAGCAGTGTGTCTAATGAAAATATCTCTGGCAGGTTTTCAGCTGTTGCTTTGACTTTTGGACACTGTTTAGTTGGGGACTGATAAGACAGCAAATGTTTCCGCAAGTATTCCCACCTGTTCTATTCCCAGCTGCCACAACTGTAGAAAAGCGGGGGTGAGGCTGAGAGGCCCCGAGACGAACATTTTGCACTGGGCTCCAAGCCTGGAGATAGGATGAGCATCATGTTAATGTCTGGAGAAAAGAATGATTTCAGGCTGGGTGCTGTGGCTCACGCCTGTAATCCCAGCACTTTGGGAGGCTAAGGCGGGTAGATCACCTGAGGTCGGGAGTTCGAAACTAGCCTGACTAACATGGAGAAACCCCATCTCTACTAAAAATACAAAATTAGCTGGGTATGGTGGTACATGCCCAGCTACTCAGGAGGCTGAGGCAGGAGAATCGCTTGAACCTGGGAGGCGGAGGCTGCAGTGGGCCGAGATTGCGCCATTGCACCCCAGCCTGGGCAACAAGAGTGAGACTCCGTCTCAAAAAAAAAAAGAAAAAAAAAGAATGTTTTCACATCAGTCCTCAGGAAAGACCAGATGTCAGTGAGGGAGATCATTTCTTGAGAGCCTCTTCATTGCCTGGGAGAATGGGCTGCTTGTTCACCTTTGTGAAAATTCTAGAACAGGGGAAGAACAATTCAAAGGGTGCCCTCTGTTCTGCTATACCTTAACTAGAAACTTATTGGACTCTTTTTTAAATAAAAGTAATACATGTTTATTCTAGAAAACTCAGGAATTTTTTTTTTTTTTTTTTTCCTTGAGATGGAGTTTTGCTCTTGTTTCCCAGGCTGGAGTGCAGTGGTGTGATCTTGGCTCACTGCAGCCTCTGCTTCCCGGGTTCCAGCGATGCTCCTGCCTCAGCCTCCTGGGTAGCTGGGATTACAGGCGCACGCCACCACTCCCAGCTAATTTCTGTGTTTTTATTAGAGACGGAGTTTCACTATGTTGGCCAGGCTGGTCTCAAACTCCTGACCTCGGGTGATCCGCCCACCTTGGCCTCCCAAAGTGCTGGTATTACAAGCCTGAGCCATTCCTCCTGGCTGAGATAACCACTCTTAACATGCATTTCCTTCCACACTGTTCACATTTGCATATTTATTTATTAAAACAATGGAGTTAACCGTAGGTGAAGTTTTTGTATCCTGTTTTTTCTGTTATGCCTTCAGAATTTTCCTTTTGTTGAGTACTTGTGGAAAAGCAGATTTGGTGGGTGTGTAGAGCATTTGAATTATCCTACCAGTCCCACAGCAGGACGCTTTCCCACCCTCCCTTTTATCCCAGAGAAGCAGTGCCCTGTGTCCTCCCCATGCCCATATGTGGGCACTCCCTCCAAAGGAGCCAAACCTACCTGGGCAAGTAGCAGAGAGAGAGCAGAGTGAGCCATGGGGGCAGGAGTTGGGGTCGTGGCAGGAGAGAGACTTGAGAGTTTTGAGGTGGCAGATGAGCTGGTGATTCGGGAGCATTTCTTGACGCATACCTGCCCATGGTGAAGGCATGTGCCTTGTAAGTGTGCTCACAGAAAGCCTATGTGATGTGTGGTGGGGCTGCCTGTATGACCAAACCCTGGCCACTGGGTACGTGTCTCTCACAAGTGCTGAGTGGACTGGGAAGAGCTCCTTGATGGGCAGTTTGGAGACTTGAGTTGTAACTGTGGCTTTTGGCCATGGGACATTAACTGATTACTTTTGCCCCTCTAGGCTTCAGTTTTCCTTAATTATAATACAGGGAGCTGACTAGGTGGCATTGGTGGCCTTTAAGGTCCTTGCCAGCTCTGACATTGTCCTATGGATATGCCCTTTCATTTGATAATATGTTTACATGGCCATAGGGCCCAGGGCCGCGCCAGGAATGGAAACTTGATCTCTGGGGCCTGGCCTTTGAAGCCAGTTCATGTGTCTGGTGGTTCAGCAGTTCCGTCACTTTCCAAGAGGCACATCAACAGGCTTCTGTGTCCTCTCTCACTGTGTCCCTCCTCCGTTTCATCTTCTTTATAACTACCACTTATTGAATGCCTACTGTGTGCTGGACACTTTACAGGTTATCCCTAGGTTTTACAGTAATCTTGCTAGGTATGCCTGTTCCGCTTTTTACAGCAGAGGAAATGAGCTGTGTCAGATTAGACTGTCTGAGGCCTCTCAGCCAGGGAATATGTGGTTCAAATCACACAGGCAGGCGATCCGAACCCTGTCAGTCTCCAGGCCTCTGCTTTTGACCACTGACTTGCTGCTGCTTGTTTAAAAATAAATGTGTTTCTGGAGCCTACTCCAGGGCATCATGCTAGGGGCTCCCTCTCCCACTTCTCCACAAACCACCCTTTTCCCTGGCTGCTTCAGGAAATGAGAGAACTCTGCCTGGGCCCCAGGCACTTCTGAGTGGGACAGGGCTGTTAGAGGAAGTCTAGAACCTGGCCCAGAGTTCAGGAGGCCCCATCAGAGGGCCTCTGGGGCCTGTGGTCTGGGAGGGTGGTAGGGCAGTACCTCACTTCCCTTTGAGACTCAGGCCCCAGCTCTGGCTTAGGCCAGGGAGAACCATCCCCAAGTGGTATGTGTTACTATATGGGCTGAGATGGATGGACAGATGGATGGTCAGTTGGACCAAATACATAGTCGGGTACCCAGGGCCAGGGGGAGAAAGGTGAGCAGGGCAGCCATGGGCATTTGTCCGGGTATCACCTGGCCTTAAAAATCTCTTCCTTATTTTAAGGGAGGACTGTGGGACTTCTCAGACATCAGAATAGTGATGTGATGGAGCTGTGTGACCATAGAAAGTGATGTGTTAAAAACCAGCGCCTCCCTCTTTGAAAGCCAGGGATCGTTATCGTTCATCTAACCTGCTGGGAAGAAGAACCAGTTGT